AAAAAAAAACACCCACATCATTACGTATGTTTGAGAGCAAAACCACATCAGCATATATTCACTTATTTTGATTGCCATGTGATTTATTTTCTCACAAAGCATGAGTAAAACAGTATATACATCGACAAAAAAAGTGCCAATTCGAATTACAAAAAAATGTTTGTACGCAGTTTATCGACGTGTTTGGTGATTGTGCTTATTATTTTCAAGTGTCAGAATGCATTGGGTATTGGTCGAGATGGTCTTACACTAGTCTTTGAAGATTCATTTGATAGTGGGCCTAGACTTAATGCATCTATATGGAGTCCTAATTATCCATGGGGAACAATTTATAATCATCGAGCAAATATGGTTCACCGTCAAGTAACTATATCGAATAGTCGAGTCAACTTGACAGCTCTTGCCATACGATCGACAAGTACAATGAATGTTGATACAGCTGATTATGGTCTTGTCGATCTAGATTATACATCGGGTGCTATCTATATGAATAGTCGTATCAATTTAACTCGTGGTTTAGTTGTTGTAAGTATGCAAGTTCCACCAGCAACAAGTACTTGGCCAATGATAATGCTCGTTCCACCTGATGAAACTTTGCCCATGTTAACTATGGACGTATTCGATGATCGAAGAAATGTTGGCTATTCTTTTCAATATACATCTCCAACTGGATCACGTGCTTCAGTTAGTGGAATTGCACGTTCATTGAATGATAATAGTAATGATATGCATTCGTATGCAATCGATTGGGGTTATGACAAAGTAACATTTTTCTACGATAATTTTCAATTAGGATCCTTTGTTCAATCAAATGAATTGACACAAATAACTGAAATGAGATTAATTTTAGCATTAGGTGTTGGTGGTCGATCACAATCCGTACCATCATCGAATGCTACCGGTTATCCGCAAAGTTTATTAATTGATAGTGTAGAAATGTGGTCACCAAAATATGATGGTCGCTATAAAATGATCAATCTCAAATCTAATTTATCACCTGAAGTTCAATCTGGTCAAACACAAGATCGTGCATTAATCGTACAAAATAGTTATACAGGTGCTGCATGGCAACAATGGGATATAAATTATATTGGCAATAGTTATTACAAAATAATCAATGTTCATAGTCGTAAAGTTCTTGATGTTCATGATTGGCAAACAGATGATAATGCAAAAATTGTACAATATAAATTTAATTTAAAAGAAAATCAGATTTGGCGTTTCATAGAAAATGATGATCAGACTGTATCGCTCGTCAATGCTTGGTCACAAAAAATGGCTTCAATTCTTAATAGTTCTACTGAAGCAGGTGTACAAATCGTACAACGAGCATTTGACAACGGATTAGACCAGAAATGGAAAGTGATACGATTGAATTGATTAGTGCAACTTGATTGTGTGATGAAATAATTTTGAATTAATACATTCTTTTGAAAATTATTGTAAACTATTTTCAATATTTGAAAAGTCCCTATTCAGACGTTCACTCTCTTGAACAGTGTAGCAAGCTAATAATTGTTGAATGTTCTATTGATCCGTTTTTTTTTCTAAAGTTTTCAATGAAATTAACTTCTATTTTTTTTTGGAAGCTTCATGGCAATGAGACCGATGCATCTGTTCTGCTTGTTTCTGTTCTTCATAAATGGTAAACGCGCATCAAAATCTATTATAATATAATAATTGATGAATATCTTTGAAACGTTGCACCTGTGTTAATACTCATGAGACTCCTTTTAATATCATGGCAGTATTACGATGTATTTCTTCTTTTTTTCTCTTACATCATGTCATCACATATGTCAACTTGTGGTTGTTCACATAAGAGAGTGAAAGAAAAAATATTGGCAAAGATATACTTTTTAGAAATTTCGAACGAGAACTAGAATAATTAAGCCGAGCTCTTGAGACCAGTGCATTATCAAATAGTATTACAGTTCAATGAGGCGATAATGTTTTCAACATTAGGACAAAGAAAAATGTCAATTAGCATAAAATTTTGCTAAATTGTTTTGTCAGTTGTCAATTGTTATGATTCAATGAACTTTCTCTTATAAATATAGGGAATGCAAAAAAAGCATATATCTGGAGTGATTCTGTCGATTGTGTACAAATTATTGCACAAGCTTTTTCTTATTATAAATCAACAGAAGTGAATGATGTCACCATCGTGACTGTTTTGTAAATAATTCGTAATTAAAAAAGCAAAGCACAATGGTGAAGTTGTAAAGAAGTTCTTGCTCGAACAGAATAATTGAAATTGTTTCATTAGAAAGTATTAGTGAACTTGATCGTAAGTGAGTGAGTGTAGATAAAGAAAAGATCCACACTCTATCCAGCCTTCGAAAAATGATTTGGTCTGTTCATTGTAGCAGTTTTAGCATGATTTCGAACTATTCATACAGCATGTGTTACAATATATAGCTCGCAAGTTTTCTTTTTAAGCTCGACGACAAAATCAAAAGGATTATAAAAGCCAGCACAAATTATAAATATTTTCATCAAGTTCACACTACAGCGTGACCGAAGAAAAATTGAAGTTATCCATCTCTATTCGGCAAAAAAGTTCTCCGATGAATCCTAAAATCAATGTTTAGCTTGGCAAAATACTCTCGTACGTGCTTGAAATACTATCCAGGTCCAAAAGAGTCTGAGCGTAATGAAAGTAGTTTTGTCTAAAATTAAGACATGCAACCTATGGCAGAATGTGAATCATCGATCATTGTACTTGATATTCATTTCGAACATATTTAACACAGGAAAAGTGAGTACAGACATATTTATTGAGAAAATTCGAATGATCACAAATAGATATTTACGGTAAGCAAGATTGAATTCTAGCTAAAACGCATACAAAGCCGAAATGATTGTACCATTTGTGCAAAAAACTTATAAGAAACAAAGAAAATTTATTTCGTATCAGAAGCACATTTAGTTTCTCTTGAAAAATGATGCGGTGCAATTCGTCGTTGATAGATTTTCGATAAAATTCGAATGCCACAGGTTATCATTAAACGCAACACGATAACAAGTCCACCATAAACACCAAGCATTGTGATAGCAATGTCAAAAAACTCTGCTCGTACTGCTATTGTATAGGAGCAGTATGTCGGGGCACATTGAGAATAGTAATTGTCATACGATATCTAAATGATGAAAAAAAAAGTAAGAGAGACTAATGGATGCAGTAAACTCTTGTACAACATACAAAAGCCGAATATTCTTCGATGAACAATTCATGAAAGAGTTCATTGACTGTATTATTGGGTTGAAATTGTGATGGGATCGATTGGTTAAGAGCGAGTGGTGATTGCCGTGTGTTCAAATAGAAAAGATATTGATCCATCATACGATCAACACATGACTGAGAATATAAGCATTCCAAAGTGGAGCGCAATAAGCCTTCGATTGGATAGCCTTAAAAATGAAACAGAAAGGGCTTTTATGAGCAGAATCTCAAGCAAAGACTTACATCCAATCAATATTCCTGGTACAAAAAAGATTTCATCTGTATACCAGTCTATGAAAAATGCGTTCTCAAAGCATTGGGAAGATGTAGCACATGAGCAATTAGCTCCATGTAATACTGGTTGTGAAGGTACGGGATACAGAGGCATTGTGTAATCTGGTCGAATTTGATATTGCCAACTTGTAAAGTAACCACTCACATATTGATTTCCATGCATGATAACACGTGTCACTTCGAGTATCCGAATAGCATCAACTGACATTTTTCGCCGAAGCTCATCAATAGTTTTATTCAATTTGAATTCAAATTCATTACGATTCATCAAATGGGACGATATTAATTGTTGATCATAAAATTGATTCTGATATTCTTTAATGGTAGTGTTGGCCAAGAGGCACAATGATTTCAAATTTAAATAAAAGGATGCACCATATTTTCGATTATCTGTTATGGGGCGGTCGAATCTATACTGAAGTTCATAGGGCATTTGAAACAACTTAAGCCAATCATAGTTCATAAACATACTACTGCAAACTTGATGCATTGATGCTGATAAGTTGTTAACAACATGTCGATAGGAAAATGCTATCGACGAACATGGACATTTAAAGTCCTTGTATGATTGAGAAGAGATGGTATTAAGAAGTTTGATATAGGTCGGTTGAGAAGGAGTTTCTACAGTTATCGTGACTATTTGTGTATCAAGTAATTTGTAAATAAGAAAAATGACAAGAACAATAATGAATAGACATATATAAATACGTGTACCATATCGCTGACATTTTTCATCACTTGAAGGTGTATCTTCAAATAGGTTTAACGTACTTATCATCTTCTTTAAGCCAGTCAGCCTACTCTGTAGCACTTGTGTTTGACCGTTTTCTAGAATAACTACGAAAAAAAAATGTCAAATAGAATGCTTTTCGATATGTAGCTATGCACAGATTTTTTCGAGTACTCCAAAAGTTTCTTGATAGAGTAAATTCAAGGAACTCTAACATTTCTCACAATTGATAAACCAATTACGGTTATTTCTAGGCATTGATACTATCATCAAGTGTCAATGAGAGTGTTTGAGTATGATTAGGATCAAAGAAAAGGCGATCATCAATATATCAATACTCAAATAATGAAGATAAATTCGAAAATACCACTCAGTGTCATTGACTTCAATCAAAACGCAGAAATTCAGTATATTTCGATTTCCATTGGAATATCAGAATCGTTTTACTATCGTTTCAGATTTCAGAACAATTTCATCGAAAACAACGAATCGAGTTATAAAAAACTCATAAACTTAAATACTACAAGTACTGGAACTGTTGGAAAACAATTAGAAAAATACTAAATTCATGCATTTTAATAAATGTGAACATCTCTAGTTCATGATTTCAATCTTCTTTTTGGCAAATCAAAACTTGACGAAGCAATCTATCGTTTGAAATGAAACTTATTAATTAACTTGAAAAAGTATTTAAGTTATAGAGATTTTTTCTCTAAAGCACTTTCGAACACGTGATATAGTTATATCTTCAATAGTCGATTAAGAGGTCTCTTGATAGTCGGAATATTACATTGGCCGTTAAGATGAGTGATTCGACAAAATTGTTCTCAAGTTGCTACTTTCACTAAAGGTTGATTTTTACAATGGTCTCAAAATGACTGATATGACTCTGATCAAGATGAATAGTCGACCTATAACACTGCTTTTCTCTAATCATGAGTATTTTTTCCTGTATAATCAGATTGTTATCGACAACATTGCAAATAAATTGGATTTTCTAGTACGGAAAACCCTGAAAATCTTTCTAAGGAAACTATGGAAGAAAATACATATATCACTACTTACCGATTCTTCCATTCGATTGACCAATACAATTGTAGTAGATAAAAAACAATAGATAAATCGTGAATGGAATAAAAATACGTAGAACATTATTAAGCCCACTGAAAACTCCAGCAAGAGTTTTTATTACTGTTACGAGATCATCACGTTTCGTCGCTGTGTAATAACATGTTTGTGGAGAACATTGTAAAAACAACGATGTGAAATTGATGGTTACAGACCATTGCTCAACGAGCAATTCGTTGAGAATATCTCCAAATGCTGTATGTACTGGATATCGGGTTATTGAAAAATTGAGTGGTTCTGGACGAATATATGGTTGGTTTAATTTTTCTGAAATGTAGTCAGCGAAAGTATTCAAACAGATTTGATCGTACCAACATTCGAGTGTTGACTGCATGACCGATTTAATTGCAGAACATGCCCGCACCATGCCGGGAATTTCCCATTGGACAACTAGTATGTCTATGTCGGTCGAAACCTGAACGAATTTGCCAGGTTCTTGACATGCGGCAGACATGCTGCATAAACACGTTGAATTCATCAATACTGATTGAGATCGAACAAGGAATTGTAAATCGAGATACATGGCACTATTATAAAGAAGATTTGACATGAGATTGTTAGCCGATGTCATTTCCTGTGCGAAATAAAGCGATCGTACAAAGTCTTCCCTTGTCGAATTTGTGAATCCATCAATATATATTGTCATTTGTTTGACGAAGATCTCCGGAGTTAATAGATGTTTGTTGATATATTCAATCGATTTAAATCTACTGTAACTATCGCTAATCGTCGATTGGGCTAGATCGCAAAGTGATCGAATCAAGTGAAAATAGCTCGATGCATGCATGGCAAAATCAATATAATAGACCGTAGTTTTGATTGAGCTGAATTGAGATGAGAAAGTGGACTTAACAAAGTCACTCGAACAGACATGATGAAACAATACGTCGATTGTGACCAAATTACCGTAAGAGGTGGTAACTTTTTTACAATCACATTGAAGCGTTTCTGGATAGAGTGCTAGTAAGTGCTCGTACTCTTCTTGACTAGGTTGTTTGACTG